GACCCTGGAATGGGTTGCCCAGGGAGGTGGTTGAGGCCCCATCCCTGGGGGTCTTTAAGGCCAGGCTGGATGAGGCTCTGGGTAGCCTGGTCTAGTGGGAGGTGTCCCTGCTCATGGCAGAGGGGTTGGAACTGGATGACCCTTGTGGTCCCTTACAACCCTGACAGATTCTGATCTGTTTTAGCAGAGGACTTTAGAGCCCTAATGGCTCAGTGGTTGGACTTGATGATCTTGGAGATCCCTTCCAACCTAAAGGATTCTATGATTCTAAAACCTTGGCTCACCCCTCTGCTCTCAGGCATGCCTGTTGCCAGTGGGGACTGAGGCTGCCCGGGCTGCTCACAGCCTGAGGTGTGCTGGTGCTTCTTTGTGCCCAGCTGTCACGCTGACGGTCTAGGACTGAAGCTAAAGACTGAAACTCAGCTGCTGTCTAAACTTTTCTGTTTGTCTGTCCGGTTGAACATAGAAGGCCTGATAACTTCCAAGAGCACTCCCTGTCATAATGAAGCCAGATTTTGGTAGTGATTATCGAAGTATGCTTTCACTTTCTCAGGCTTGGCTCTTCTTGTTCCCTAACAACATCGCTGCTGGCCGTGGCTGCTTCTCGTGGTGTCCAGCCAGCTGTTTGTTGTGAGCAGGCCTTGATACTGTGCTTGGCTCTGAAGATATCTGAGCTGCCTTAGTGACGAGCCATTTATAAACTCACCCTTAAGACTGGCAGGACTCCAGAGCGGCTCATCTCATAGATCCCATTGTTAACCTAGGAGCTTGAAATTTGTGTGGCCAACAAAGCTAGAGTTGTCTAATTGTGCGTGTGCTTGGAAATGATAAACGTTAACAGAGTTATGCTGTAAAAGGGCCCAGCAAATACCAAGTTCAGTAATTTGGAGAAATGGCACTTGGCAGTCAGTCATGCCAAAGCAGGCAAGTTCCATTTCAACTTGGCTGCCTGCTTTTGTTACATGACCCCAGTACTATCCACAGGTACTTCCCATTACTATAGCATATTTAAAGATATGAATATTTATGTGACCAAAATATACTGCAAAGTTAAATTAGCTTTAGAACTTCAAGCTCATTTCTGTATATAATTGTACATGGAAATGAGCTGCACTTCCATTTGAAGATTTTCATAGAATCATTAAGGCTGGAAAAGACTGCTAAGATCATCAAGTCCAACTGTCAACCCAACACCACCATGACCATTCTGATGGGGAATATATACATAAATGAAACTGATACAATGCCCAACACCCAAAAGTAGCTAAACAACAATAATACAAATCAGAGTTTTGCTGCCTTTATAGTAAAAAAAAAAAAATTAGCCTTTGCCTAGGAAGAATAGTCCAACACAGCTCCTGTAAGCACAGACAGTTGGCATCTTTCAAAGCAATGTTGCCTAAAAATAAAATTAAAAATTGAAAAAAAAAAAAAAAAAGGCTGAGGTTCCTCACACCTAAAGTTAGACAACAGAGGCACTTAGATTTGTTGTTGCTCTACAGTCTTTATGCAACCGAGAGAGGTAAGTGAGCTGATTCACCCTTGAAGCTGCCTGTTGACTGGAGAGGAGGTTGAAGATGACAGTTTTCTGAAGTGACATGACTCAGTCACTTTCCTTCCACGGGAAGTGAATTATAGCAAAGGAGAAAAAACTGAGATCTATTTTTCTTAATAGTGAATTAGTGAGATTTTCCCATAGCTAGCATGGGGATCATGTAACAAAATTCTGTTACTATTAGTGGAAAGTTAATAATGGGATTTTCTAGCTACAGTTACTGGGATAGTGTATTTGTTAGCAATTTAAAAAAAAGACTGCAATACTTTCAGCTGTCATACCAGAAAGGCAAGTGCTGCACCATGGGCTGTAGTTCCAAATCCCTCCATATTCAGGTAGAGGAATCAAAGGGTTTTTCCCTAAAGAGACTGCTGCTTTCAGTTTTGAAGTGCCACTCATTGAAGGAGGTCCTTTGTTTAAAGTCTTCTAGTCTCAAAAAGGAGGAAACTTTAGTTACAGAGACAACTGATGTTAAGAGTGAAAAAATTATATTCTGCTTTAAGAATGAAAACAAATATTCTTGCAGCATTATATAAAGCATTTGGGAAGATGATAGGTATATATCATCATCATCACATATTAAAAAAAAAAAGCCCAACCCCTAAATATTCCATATTCTCCAGGTTTATAATAGATATTCTTACTCTTCAAAGTGATCAAAGATTACAAATCTAATATTTAAATGTGTACATGTTAAATGTCAACCTACTCAAACCAATTAGAAAATAATCCAAGTTTTTTCTTCCCAGAATAACATTATGGGAAAAACAGATCTGAAAATTTATTTAATATGTTAAAAATTCAATAATAATGACTCATGTAATTTATTGCCAGTACCTCTCATAGGACTGTTTTCCTTGAAGTCTCAGGTAAACATAGTACATGTATGCTGAAGTAACTGAAAAAATGCAAAAGGAAGGAGTCTGATAAAGCCTTTTCTGTGCTGGCAGTGGTTGCAGCTTGGTGCTTAATCATTCTGGGGATTTTTTTTTTTTTGTGTCCAAGCGTGCCTTTTCTGGTTACAACTCCTGATGCAGAAAAAAAGCCATGCAGTTCTTGGGACACAATTCTTTGCTGCACTATGAGATGGTGTCAGATGAGTCAGAGCAGCTTCCTGCTAACCTGGAAAATTCACCATCATCCAGACGCTCCTCAAGGAAGCACCGGAGCAATACAGGGCGCAGGGCTGAGCCCAGCCTTGGGACTGATGACGGTGTGATGAAATGCAGGATTCTTCTGCATTTTGTCCCTGTGTCAAGCGTAGCCTGTTGCTTCCTTCTTCCATAGGAAAACACATTCCTTGTGTGCTCTTCAAATTTTTCTTGTTCTTTCTGAACAAAACTAAAGGGTTGGGGGAATTAGTTATGCTAAGTGCCACTAATGGGATGTAATGTGTCAGAGTGCGGGGAGAGAGAGGACCCGAGAGCCAAAAAGTTTCCCCACTGTTGTAAGGAACAGTATGCAATTCTGTATTCACTTACGTGGAGCCAGCTGTTGAGCTAGGACAGAATGTACCTGCACAGGTGAGCAGGCTTTGCACAACTCTGCACCACCAGACTCATGAATACGGGCACTTGTAGCTCTTCCCAGAACACCAGCTACTGCAAAGATCAGCAACACCGTGGCAGTGTGATAATGTAAGTACTTGTATTCATCCCAAATACTACATACTCACTTTTTTTTTAGGAATACACTTTACAGAGTTCTCGATGCCATTTGGTAGAAAATAATTTTTTCCCTATTTATTTTCCTCAGTTTGGTTTTGGGCTGTTCCTATTTTCTTTTTATTTTTAAGAGACTGATTTGGTAGCGGGGCAGCTGCTGGCAATGGCAAACATGGTGAGCAAATGCTTCTTGACTTTCTTCTCCTTTCCAAAAGACAGATGCTTACTAGCAAATAAAACCAATGGGCACACCTTTCAGTGAAGAGGTAAATGCAGGTATTATGATCATCCAGTTACTGTTCAGTTATTAGATTCATACATAAAAATGTACAAATGAGGTGGACAATGGGAGAAAAAGGCTGAGCCCTTGGGAAGCATGCAATAAAAAATACACAACACGCACTTCAGAGCATTATAACAAAATGAGCTAGTGTATTTTATTTTGGGTAACAGCCAAGAAATCTGACATTTTGCCCAATATGGCTTTCTTCTAAAATTAAAAAGTTGCATATACCTACAGTTGAATCAACCAGCTACAGAAAACCTTCTCTATACATCTTTAATCTATGGCAGCATCACCAGAATACAGCTTTCAGTGGAGTTTTCAAGCTGAGTTAGAAGTTTTAAAATGTTCATTTTGAATATTTTATATTGTTTATATGAAAACATACAAATTTTTCATTTATACATATACTACATACAAAACTCTTTGTAATTAGCAAGTATCTTCATCTGGGTATTTACCTTTGTGCATATAGCAAAAAAAGGATGTAATTAGGGCTTTAGATGAAATAATAAAGTTCAAGACCTTTGTATATGCTAACTAAAACCTTATTCAAATAAACATTTTTTTTTCTTGCTTTTAAAGATAAGAGAGATTCAGCTTAAAAATACATTCATAAAACAAAGAGAAATTTTCTCCCTGAGACTACCAGTGTGAGTTACTGTGGTAATCTTTGAATGAAAAAATATAAGAAGAAGACAATAAGCTCTAGTTTTCTATATGCTGCAGCAAATTTCTTGAGCAACACTGGCATCATAAAAGGTGTAAGTTGGAGAATCATGCTCCCTAGCTGAAAAAAATATTTTCATTTATGTTTGAGAAGAAAAAAACTTTACTACAGACAAGGAAAGGTAATTAAGTTTCAATGAAAAATCTGTATCAGTAGTATGTATAAATGGGAAAATTTTGGGTGGTTGTTTTTTTTTTTTTTTCATTTCAGACATTAATTTTATCCAAAGGAGGACTATAGGCTCAAAATGTAGATTTCTAGATTTATGCAGTTACTTTGTACAGTCCTCTAAACATCTCAAGCATTTGTTCTTGTTAACATTCATAAAAGAAACACCTAACTTTTGGAAACAGTTTCTACTTCAACTGAATGATAAAATGATTATAACTAGACAGCAAAGTCCCACGAGCAACAAGGTAAGGAGTCAACCCCCATCCCCAAAGAACAGCTCCTGGTTTGTGGCTTTTTTCATCCTAGTCAGTCTCCTCTGAAGGCTAGCAGCTACACTCATTTTGATTCATTTCACATTCTTCCTTTTAAATGTTAAGAGTTTTTAAACTGCTACAAAGTAACAGAATAGAATTCAGAAGCAGTAAGTGCATCCTGCCCAAACTGGAGAGAGTGTTAAACATTATATATACACTTTTTCCTTTTACAATGTAAATTGTATTTATAGTAACCATGCAATTATGTTATTTTTTGGGGAAAAGCCTTACCTGAAATCAAAGAGAACACATTTATAGGAAAAAGGGGGAAAGCATTATGTTTGTTCTACCAAAATTTATTATGCAGTAATTACGAAGTTTAAAGATTCTTCCATTTTAAATAAAAATAGTTGTAATTACACACATTATATAGTACTATGTCAAGTGATTCCAACAAATATAACATGAAATACAGTGCAGTTTCAAATCAGAAAGACAAATACTTTCTCATTCACAGTGTTTGACAAATTACAGGAGAGCTTGTTCACATGAGGGTTCCTTTAAGGTCATGCTCTTATTAACAGTCCACATCACGCTGTGCCACAAAAACAAATCATCTTTCAGAAGGTGAAGTACTGGGCAAACCACTCCTGGCGTTGTGGGTCTGGTGAAGCCACTGGTGACGCGTCATTCTGAGGAGGGCTATATTCACAGAAAGGAAAAAAAAAAAAATTATCACACAACTACACCAAAACCACAAATGTTAGGGGAAAAAAAAAATCACAGACAATATTCAGTAAAGAACACAGTCTGGTTTTCCATGGATTAATTATCAGTGTACCTCAGGACATAATTTAACATCTCCCTAAGGAATCTGTGATCATCCACTCCATTGGAGAGCATCAGCAGCACGGACAAGTCAGTTCAGAAGCCACATGACACGATGGGCAAATGATATTTTGGAAAATCTAATTTAAAATCTCATTAACAGCTGTAGGTTTTCAGGAAGAATAACAAGATTTTTTTTGGAAAAGCGTGACTGCAGAAGGTCCTCTTTTAGCATCCTTTTCCCGTGGTAAAGTTAATTTTCAAAAATATGATGCGAGCATCATATTTATAGACGTGCTCACAAAGACTGGTTGGCAACTGAACAGATACAGACACTGTTGTACTAAACACCGGTCACAAATACCACTCGCACCCTTGTTCATGCACACCTTTGAAAGGTGCTAAATCTGCTAGGGAAAAAGAAACTGCTGCACTGCAAACAAGATTCGGTTCCCCCTTGAACACTTGAAATTCTCACAAAATGAGCAAGAGAGAACAATTTAAATTTAATTATACAATTAAGGTTTTTTTAATCAGTAAAAATCAGTAATAAAATAATCCCTACTGTATTACTGGATAACACAGAGCACAAAATTTTGGATGGGAACTCCAGCACTGCAGTCCATGAGTTCATGCACATGCATGTTCTAGATACCTGAGCACACTCATGCACATCACATGCAGAGGAAAAAATAAGCAACAGTACTTTTCTTTTAAAAAGATTGCTTTATTGAAATAGATTGTTTTCCCTTATCTATTTTAGGTTCAATTATTTGTTTCCCTTTATAGGAAGAGAGTAAACAACCAACTGTGGAACTGGTAATTACACATTGCCAGTTTAGAGGTAAGAGATCAGCACCTACTAAATACAGAGTGCATCTAATATGTGGGCACATAAAGCCAGATTAAAATCCTGCCTTTAAAGTGCCATTTTTAAGTTATCCAATTCACTGTATTATTTTGTGAAGTAAGAGACTTTAATGCTGGTTTTGATTACTGGAAGCTCAGCATTAAGCATCCAAGCATGCACATTTCCTGTTGCTGTGGTAAGGTTACTCCTATGGAACAATTTAATAAAGGTGAGGGAAAGGGAAACAAAACATGTAGCACAGAAAATAGTTTTCTGACATAAAAACCATTATCACATAATACTGAATAGAAGAAATTCTGTGCTAGTACCAATTCCTAAATGATGATCAGTAAATAACACAAATATTTAAAACAATTGTTCATATGTGTAAACAATTGGAAGCACAGGAATTCTGTTCAGGTATCTAAGGAGATTTTCAAAGTTCAAGACTTATGAAAAAGTAAGAGAATACTTCACATTTCAACAAGGTCTACAATAAAAAGGAATACTATAAAGAGGTTATAAATATAATGTAAAAAATAAAAATGCTGTAAGAATACTTGTACCTCTGAAAGGTTCACAAAGCATGTGGGACTCAGCTCAATAGGAATGCAAAATTTTCCTGAATTATGGAGAAAAAGAAAAGAAGAAAAAAAAAAGATCGGTGAGGCAGTGCTCACCTCAAAAACGTCTTGGACTCTTTGGGTGGCATTGTCTGTGGTAGTGGTTTGCTGCTGTTGAACTCAATATCATGGATGGGTGAGTTAGGAATGGGGTCCAGGCGGTTGGGATGTCCATTGCCCACCACTCCGCTAGATTCCAGAGCACTTAGATTGGGGACACTCACAAACCTGTTTGTTGATTTATCGTTCTTCTTCTTTTGCTGCATTAAAAATAACAAATGTAAGGAAGGCTTCTCACACCAGGACAGATGAGGAAATTTGCAAGTTTAAAAGTTTTATTGATGGGTGGTTTGGGGTTTCTTTGAAGGAGAGCAATTGGGACATACTGGGCTTTTTTCCCCCTTTGTGTTTTTATTATTTGCTTTGACCAGGCCTGAACACCACAAATTTTCACAGAAAAAATCAAATTTATGACCAAGATGATTAAGTTATTAAGATTTAGTGTAATAATCAATGAGTATCTTATGTGACATATTCCAATATAACATTTTGCGCTGTTTAAGACACTGGAGATAGGAAGTCTTCCACAAAATTGTCATTTAGTCTGTTAAACCTTTCATGTTGAGTTAAATCTTTTCTTGATACCAGTGAAACGTCTCTGATGTCAAATGTGATTACAGCAAATTTCCATGATGAAAAAAGTGAATCTCTCCAACACGTTTCACCCCATCACTGAGGCACATTTTGGTAAACTTAGAAAATCAGCTATGTTTCTTTTAAAGCAATTACACCCTGACAGTTGGCAAGGGTTACAGCAATAGTGCTAAAGGTAAGAAGATTATTGTATAGGGGTTCAGTTTCTTGTAGAAGGAAAAGGCTGGGCTTCTAATGCTACTACAGTTGCCACATGTAGACAACAGGTGGCATAACTGAACATTTTTCTTAACATTTTCTATACTTTTGCTAATAGTATTTTAAGGGACTCAAGATACTGAAGAATTTTATTTTTATATCACTATTTTACTCCCCATAACACATCATACAAAGGCATCAGTATTTAGCCTTTCTACTTTTACACCTATTTTCATGTAGAAGGAAGCTTCATATAATTCTATAGCTTTTTAAAAATAGCTCTGGGTCAGTATGCCACATGTATTTGCTGACTTCTATCAAATATACCATGTCCACAATAAAAAATTAATATTAAAAAAGCCTTATTTCCAAAAACAGGCATTTTGAATGAATGGATTAATTTATTCTCATGAATTATATATGGTTTGAATATATAATAAATACTTTCATTCAAGTACATATATGCAACCCTAACAAAGCAGCTAGGAGAAAAAAAACCTTAAGAGCTTATGAACTGCACAAATTTGAACTAAAGTGAAAGACAAGTGGAATCTTATGTTGTTTTTATCAAATTTTCCAGCACAATTCCACTTGAAACAGAAGAGCTGCTTTATTTGAGGGTCAGCACAAGTTCAAATAGAGACAGGGAGATAGTCCAATTCTCTTCAGCTCTCTGCTAGCTTTGATTTCAGTGGCTGATCTGTCCAGGGCTTGCAGATACACATGCTAATAATTGCAGCCACACTGATGGATGTGTTTGTCAAAATATAATTTAAAAACCCCAATAGAAAGTAATAATAGAAAAAAAAAAAATCTTTTTAAAGCACCACCATGAAAGATCATTAGCTGCAAAGGATTAAACTAAGATTGTCCCATACACTTTTTACTGCTTCTGTAGTAGCTGAAGAAGCAAGAAATAACACGGTGGAAAAAAAGGTTTGGTAAAAGTAACCAACTCTAAGTCAATATACACTGTAATTAAAATGTTGTGTTGAACATACTGTAGTTCAATCTGTGTGCTTCATAAGTGGCTCATTTCTGCAAAATAGGTATTATCCACATAAGTGCCTAACAAAATACTATGGTTTATATCTTATTCTCTATAAAACAATCTATGCTTCTGAAGCAGTCAAATCTAGAGAGACAAAATTGTGTGTATTGCTTCCATGAAATTCATGCAAAGTATTAAGAAACTTCAGATGTAACAATATAATACTAAACAGATCCATTGCATAAATTAGATAAATTGTAATAAATGCTGCAATGGCTGTAATTTTAAATTAATAAGCAAAGCCTGTAGTAACTCATAAATTCTGTCCTTTTATTACAAAAAAAGAAAAGAGAATGAGTTTTTCAGTTTCTTTATAATTCATTCTCCAATAATAGTACATGCTTTAACAAAATAAAGTAACATAGTCCACAAGTTATGAAATGAGAGATCAAAATGTTCTGGCATACAAGACAGTTTTGACGTCTAAATACTTTTAAGTGATATAAGGATATTATAAAAATACATGAATTATCACTATGGAAATCTGCTGTTGAAGTACTTTTCCCAAACACTTCAGATTTCACACAAAACACAAGCTTATATTCTTGACATTTACATTTCACATCTTTATGAATGAGTGGTTCAGACAAGCTTCCAAAATGTTCAAGCAACCTTTTATAAAAAACAAACCCAAAGCATTCAGATTATGTCTGTCAGCCCTGGCACTATCTCTGCTGAGCCCAAATTATGTTCTTTTACACAGTTATGCATAAAAGTTAAGCATGCACAGATAAAGCCTGTGAGAGCTGCTGGGCTCCTAAAAAAACACAGGAGAATATTGACAATTTGCAGCAGAGCTTGTGCAAAGGTGGGAAATAGGCTGATCTGATGTGAAACTACTATAAGGCTTAGCTAAGTAACAAAGCCTGATCTCAGATGGGCTCCACCGAGCCCAACCTCCTTTTAAATAACAGAGCCTGAACCTTGATCACTGAAGCTCTGAGGCACCTGAGCAACTCATGTTGTGCCCCTTGGATTACCCTGTGCTTAAGAACCTTCCCAAGTTCTTCTGCCTCTACAGCTAGGACAAATCTCTTCCCCTTTCAAGCAGATGAAATAACCTATGGGTTATGAAGAGGAGAAAGGAAATGCCAGAAGACTCATTCCTACTCCTGAAGCAGTGAGAAGAAATAGAATTAAGTTACCCTACTGCACTGTGTTCATGTTTGTCGTGAAGGAATGCTGCTGGCCTGTGAAATTGCAGGGAGGCTACTACGCTTGCTTGTACAGTAGCCTTCACTGGCTGCTATTCAGCAAGGTGGAGAGAACTGGAAAAGGTTGCTACTGAAGTGTTTTCACTCCTATAGGAGGTGACAGTAATTGAGAAGGCTGGAGACTAACTTCTGCCTCCTGCTGCCCCCACACTCCGTAGCTGGTTTGTCACCCCAGTTCTCCAGTATTACTCTGTCTTTCTCCATTCAGACTCATTCTATGCTCTTCTCATACTCTCCCCCTTCCGCCTTTTTACTTTTATTCCTTTCCTTTACTGTCTCATCTCTCTCATGTTTCTAATGCTCTTTCATCCAGAGCACCAACTGAAAAATGAAACTGCTCTTGCACTTTCAAAAATAACCAAGAAAAATAATGAAACCAGAATGATTTACGTGTGTCACTCTTCTCTATTACATACTGCAGTCCTGCCCTCTGCTGCTTTTCTGTCATTTTTCTACTTTAGTTTTGCAGTTCTGTGAGACAGAACTGTGTTCTATGTCATATGTATCTAGCAAACTAGGGCAACGGCATCAGCGGATCTCTCAACCACACGAAAGAAACAAACCTACACAAAAATAAGTAGAGACAAATGGAAAACTATGTTCCTTGTTTTGAACATATCTTTAAAGAGTGATATGTATACACACAGGCACACAAACATACATTATTTTTTTTTTTTTTTTTTTTAATATATCCTAAGTTTAGATTTCTTTCTCTTCTCTTTAGCAATGAAGTCCATGGAACATACCTTCACCAATGGATTAATAACACCAACATTAGGGCTTGCATTAAACATTTTGTTGTAGTTAGTCTCCCTGTTAACTAGCTCCAGCTGATAGAACTTTTTGTCCTCCTAAAAAGAAGAACAAATAGAAACTTCTTTTTATGCATTTTCAATTCGCGGCCAAATCTGCCTAGAAAATGATCTCAAATAAATTTATGTTTATATTTTTAAAGAAACTGGTCATTTGAAAACCTGCATTTCATATTTAACAAGTTTTATATCTTATAGGTAATGAAATAGTTTCTATTTATGCAGTTCTGTTGCAACTCTAGGCTGCTGAAAGTGAGCACAGCCTAATGGATTATGCACTGGGAAAAAACGCAGTACAGTTAACTTCTGATCTCAAATTAATTTTAATTTCCTCATTCCTTCTTGCTTCTGAATCAGGATCTAATCAGACTAATCTGAGCCAGGGTGTTGTGCTCTGAATTTGTGAAGCTCAGTGGATCAGGAAATTTGTTTTAGAAACCTCACAGAAGAGACTATTTCTTCCATGGCTTACATGGCTGGCTTGTTCGAGGACTGGATAGGAGACATCTGATCAAGGTCATACTGAAATATTTTTTTTGTAATAATGTATTATGCTTGATTGTGCAAAACTCTCTGTATCTAATTAGTTTTACTATTATGAATCACTGGAACCATACAAGTAGTGTGTTAAAGGATATGAATAACATGCTAGCAGGATTGGTTCTTTAAATATATTTAAAACGCTTTGAATTAGATTCACTTTTGTGTCTGTCAAGATATTAAACTAAGAAAGCACAAACGTCTTACAATCAATTTCTTTATGAGTTGGTCCCGCTCGGCAATTAGGTCTTTCAGTTCTGAGATAAGCTGCAAGTCTTCTGGTCTTGATTCTCTGTTTTTGTATTTTTCTTCCATTTCTTCTAAACTTTATAGGAAAAAAAGAATACCTCCTTTAGCCCAATCAAGTGTTAAATGATGAGTAAATAGGCACATCATTGATTAGTACAAAAGATTTCAGGGAGTAAAACCAGAAGATTTAAATTAATTTCTATGTTTGCATTCAGCTTTAGCTAATTTTTTTTAAAAAGTCAACAATAAGCATGACCTTTGCTCCAGTAACTAATAACCTGAGCAAAATTCTATAAACTTAACATCCTTCATGTGCATGCAGTACTAGACACCTGAAAAAAGGCTTCTTGGGAGTCAGACTGAAAATGAGGCATTCAAAACCATAATTTGGACAAGAGAACTACAGAAGACATAGCTAAGACTGATTCTCATGTAAAGTATAGGGACTATATTGCATTATATTTAAAAATAAATTTTAAAAGGTAGCTATTCTTTCTTGATGAGGAAAACAAAAGCATTTTTCTTTTTATACATGACTACTATCAATAAAGATGCATGCTTGTGATACTGGAGAAACTGGATAGACAGACAAGGCTGGCACCATCTTCATCAGTTCATGTGGAACACACTGGAAACAAAGATATCCAAGAACAGTGAAGACTAATAGGTAACTAATTCCTCTCCACAAAAGCAACTTAGTACCATTAGAGATGAATGAGCTGCAAAAGAAAAGCAATAATACTTGGATATTAGGAGATCTGGGTTATGAGAAATGTGAAAATTGATAAACATTTGAAAAAAATTAGGCAGAAATTTGAAATGCTTGGTGGGAAAGCATTAAAGGAGAGAAGTGAAATAAGCCAACTGAGAGAGGAACTGTACAAGTATCTGCATAAATGACCCTGCTTCTTCTTAAATAACAGGTTTTGAAGACATGACAAACAACTGTGTCACTTTGAAACAGAAATGTAATCATCATGATGCTAAACAGCATTCCCAAGGAAACTATTAAAATACTAGTCTCATATATTCAGCCCTCATGCAGATTAGTGAACCAAGTTTCAGAACAGATTCAGGAAATTTAACAAACTTAATGAAAGACATTTTTAAAAATTCCCAAACAAACTGTGAGAAAAGTGTATGAGTTTAAGGTGTCAGCTCAATCTTAACTCACCAGACACCTGGAAGTAGACATAATTTCTCACTTTAGATAAATATTTTCCTTTCAGGAACAGCTGTGTGATTTTTGAGTTGCATTTGAAAAAGCAGCTCATATTAAATTATATTTATAACCTTCAAATAATCTGAGATAGTATAACTTATTTACATAAAACAACATGAATGTGAACAACATGACTGTTTTGATTTGCAGAAAAGGCATTTGACTCAGCAAAACAGAAATACACTCAGCTGGCTTAATTTTTGTGTATACATTTTATGCTGGGCTAAGCTTTTTTTATATAGATCCCCAGAGTATAGTACACAGTTATGAACAGCTGTAATGTTATTTTCAGATATTTCAGAGATCTGTGGTTTTTTTTCCCCCATTTCAAAGAGATAATATGTAATTTAAACACTCTAGTTGTAGAGCCTAGTTAACAATACCTACTCTCAATTACTGAATGAGAGATTCTCCATGTCATAAACGTTCCTGAGGCCATGATTTAGGTGAGGCTGAACCTGGGAACAGTTACTTAAGAAATAACTGTATAAAACTCTTCTGTTTTGTTTTGTTTTATATAGTTTCCTTTTTCTGATAGCTTCTTGCTTCAGTGTAAATATAGAGAGATAACACACTGAAAGCCAGGTCAGCTCACTCTGGATAATGTTTGCTGTCTCTAGGCCAGGGGCTGCTTCTTCGCAGCTTTAAGTTGCACAAGAACCAGGAATAGGGAATCAACTAAATTCAGAAAATTTCAGGACACTGAAAAACAATCAACTTCATGGGAGAAAAAGTTAGGGTAAACAGTTTCAAAACCTAGTTCTGGCAAGATGTTTCTCATACAAAATAAATGCAGTAAGCAAGAGCTAGTTTACACCTAATTTACTGAGAGGCAAGTTACCACATTTATCAGGAGTGTGCATATATAGATGATTATGAGGGAGTAAGAATGAGAATTTTATACCTATCTTATTTAAAGACAGCTTCTGAGTGCTTGTTATCAAGGGGGAATTAGATGCATTTGGGCTTTATTGTCCATTTCTCATTGATATTTACTTTAAAAAGTGTTCTGTCATATACTTAGAACCAATTATTTTCTCTGCCGTAAATCTACTATGCTGCAAAGACAAGTCCCTCAGTGACAACTTTGTGCCAGGAAACTCTCAATTTGCTATGATACCTCAGCCAGAAAACCTGACCAAATGGGTTACGTCACAGACAGACATAAAGAATCAAGGATATGGAAGAGAAGAAAACACCAACTTGACTACACACCACTGCACCACTTCTGCCCAGAGGCAGCCTAACCCCCAGTGGCTTTTTGACTCAGATACACTCATATAATCTATTTCAGACACTAGTTTTCCTCGTGTTAGCAAACCCAAAAATGTTTACATCACTCTTGTGCTATAATGAGACTTCTCAATAGCAAATACTGTACTGTTTACAAACTTGCTGAAGAAACACTTATGTTCTCAAAAAATATGTATTAAAGTTTGAGAAAAGACATTTGAAATATTTTCTTCAGTTGTCTAACAACTGCACAGATTTAATATCTTTCCTACTTGAAAATTTTTGGTCTTAAATCTCTAACAATTATCTCACTAAATTCCCTGAAAGCTTATAGAATTGCATTGCCTAAAGAATGCAATATTAGGCCCCTTAGTTGACTAAGGCTTCTGCACATCTGTATCTCTCCAATATCTTCAGTAACTTAAGGAAACCAGAGTAAACTATTTACTCAAATGCAGCTACTTACAAATTTTTTTAATGCAACAAAACTTACGAAATTTGTAAAGCTGAATTAATTTCCTTGAGCAGCTCTTGGGTCTTATTAAAATCTGCCAGCATGCTTTCTTTCTCTCTGATGTGATCTGCTGTCAAGACATCCAGCTCTTTCTCATGTTTCTTGCTTAAATCTTGCTCATGCATCCTGTTTAATTTTTTTTTTTTGTTAAAAAAAGAGTTATTCTAAAATCAGATTTACTTGTTCATCATGATTTGCTGCCATTCTTCCAATGGCTTTTGTACAACATGAGACAATACAGAAGGGATTACTGATTGATCAAAACCCACTACTTATTGTCTTCCAGTCTTCTAGCTTATTTCATGGAAAATGCATCTCCTTTAATGCTTTTTAAAATAGACAAACATAATGAATTTTTTTTAGAAAAAAACACCAAAACCCAATACTTGAGCAGACTGTTACTAAAATACACCAGAATGTATCACTGAAATGCAGCTTAACTGTATGGTAATATTCACTAACTTTACTAGTAATGGGCATAGCTTCTTCTAAAAAGACTAAATGATACATAACAGCACTTAGTTAAGAGGACAAATAAAAAGCTGCAAACAGTGAAACTTCTTAATTAACACAATACATGAAACAATACACATCTGAGTTTAGAGTGGAAAAATTCATACCTGATCTGTTGGTTGGATTCACTGCGTATTCTAAGAACTTCTTTCCCTTTAAACTCTAATTCCTTGGTCAATGCACTTATATTTTCATGAAGATGCAGAATCTCTTTGTCCAGTTCAGCTATATGGTGGTCTCGGTGTCTCAGTTCATCTTGTAGATCTGATATTCGGCATAAAAATTCTTGCTCCTATGATATAAGTAGTAGCAGCAAAAAACATCTTAAAATGACTTGTCTCTCAGAAGCACAATCCTTGCTTTTGGAAGATAACAGCTGAGCAGAATTTTCCATTCAAAAGACAATATTTTTTTCAGTTTTTGATGCTAATGCAAACTAGAATTAAAGTGGAGGGGTTTTTAATTGTGTACAAGTATAAATAATAAAGAGATCAAAGTTACGTAACAAACAATTTTCATTTGAGAGAAAACTTAAAACCTGCCATTGTTGTTGCCTGCTAAAGTTTGCATAGCTCATGACATTTTTTGGTAACAAAAACCCCAGATATTGCTAAGAACCAGGGGACTGGGCATCTACCATTTTCTATATCTTCAACATATGATACAGAGAAACTGGTTTTCCCTTTACAGCGCCGTACAAGGAGACAAAAAAAAAAAAATAGCTCAAGGCGTATGCCCTGAATCAACGAACACTGATTCAGAAGTCTCCTATCCTACAGATATATACAGGTTCATAAATATCTCACAGCAGAATATATGCTAGATAGTTTATAAAGTATTTACATTGTGTCCAATAAATCAATACAAGTCATTATTTTTCCATGAGAAATTCTAATGAAGTTAACACCTGGGAACTCATCTGGTATGCATCCCCATGGTTTCAATGATACTCCCGTTTAGAAAAAAGTCTGTAATAAAATCAACCTTTTTCAGAGTTTTCCATTTCCATCTATCCCACTTCTTACAGTTTCACAGTAATTAATGACCATATAGTTTACACTATAGATAGAAAATCAGCAGATATTTCAAAGTAGTTTTATGTGCAATTGTGTTTTGTGCCTTCATACATCTAGGAAATATAAAGATATTCTAATGCACAAATTTTATAGGCAGCTTTAAGAACAGACCTTTACAAATAAATCTCTACCTCCCTATAGAAAGACTATATTAAAAAGAAAAAGCAATGGAAAATGTATATCCACATTATTTAAATATTTCAAAAGTAGCAAATGTAAACATTCTGCTCAGACCTCTCTGCATTCAGTTCAGCTCTGATCCTGTGAACTGATAACTATTCTAACACAGGAGAACACAATTAATTGCTTTGTCCTCAGACTATATGCTATGCTTAGCAGGTTGTTTTACTGGGGCCAAAAGTATATAGCATTTGTTTGGCTCAAACACTTGTTCTTTTAATTTAGGCTTTTTCTGACATCTCTAGGTGTCTCACTCTAGGCTTAAAGGACACACAACTGAAACCATATCCTCCTAAATCCCTCATGTTTTCATTCACTGCTCACAGCACCACATTCCTGCCTCTAGTGCTCACACTTTTAAACTAGTAAACAAGGGCTCATCTTTGACTGTCTCCATTTTTTTTTCTAAGGGCTATAGCCAACTAAAGCTGTTTCCTCTGTTAATATATATCTAAAACCACTCCATTCCTTGTTGTGGTACTATCAGTAAATCAATCCTGAAAAGCCTGTTTTATAGGAAATGCAGAATGAATTTTCTGGTCCTTATTTCCAGGAGTCTGGCTTCCTTTCAACAGAGATCAAGCTTTGAATTTCAAGTTACTAATGAAAAAACTGATTGTGTATAGAGTGTGAAATAAAAGATAGAAGCTAATTAATCAGTTTGCTGCTGAAATCAAAAATATATATACCTATACTGGCTTTAGGATTTGGGTATTTTGGGTTTTTGTTTGGTTTCAGTGCAGTTATTTTAAGAAACAGTTGCAAGCTGTTATCTCATCTTCTCTGCTTTCTTTAGCTGCTCATATTTTTTTTTTTTCAATTTAGCTCCTGAAAAAAAAGATATTAAGCTGCCTCTTAATTTTGAAGCAATCGCTTGGTTTTAAGCAACCATTTCTTAGCCATATTGCTTACGTTTTGGTGGAGAGAAACAGCCTTTTCCTTTTTGAGTCCTGCAGGCAGCTGAGGACGAGTAGAATTTTACAAGAACCGGCTCTTTCCTCCCATGGCAAGCCAGTGTGCTCCCAGAGTGCTGCACAATTCTGAGAGGAACTGCCTGGATACGAGAGCCTTTACTAGGCTTCAAGTGAATTTTGCTGAAGGGAGGAAAAGCTAAGCAAGGAAGTTTAGGTAAATGGGTAGGGATGCGTCATCTTCTGGTGCTGGCTGACTTTGAAGGATTGCATGCTTGCTGTTTGTGTGCAACAGTTCTTGCCTCCAGCTAAGAGAAAATGAACACTCATTACGCAATTTTACAGTCAGTTCCCAGCAATGCCTCCTACCTGTCGCCTGCCGAGCTCTATGCTTCTTTCAAGCTCCATTTTGGCAGCTACCAGTTCTTGTTGATGGTTGTGCCTTAGCTGGTCAATTGCTGCTGCATGTTGATGATTTAGCTCTGAGCGCAAGGAAGCTAGTTGCCATGAACAAAAAGAAGAGTTTGTTTTGCAAATGTTTACATTAATTAACAACAGTCCAGCTGCCTCAAGGATTGCTGCCGGCCTTACACACACCATTTATATCAGCTAAGCAACTGTCCTGTCGTTCTATTCCTGCTACTTTCTGAAACATTCTCCATCATCAAATTTTGCCACTTATTCCTTCTAAAAAAAAACATAGTGGTAACATTTGTCAATGAACAGTTAGAGCTTACTTGTTAAAGCTGATATTGATTTTAAGAGGAATAACTAGGTCAATATCGAATGACTCTGAAATACACTACAATGTTACAACACACACAACATGTACATACATACATACATGTGCACATGTATTGGTACGAGTAGAAATAATGGGTTTGGACCACTTGCACCTTTGAAAATAGTATACCTAGCATAGCCTTTCCTTCATCCTCCAGCTCAAATCGTAGAGTCTGAAGTTCCTGTTCCATCTCCAATTTGAAACCTTCCATGGCTTGTTTATGTGTTTCTTTCAGTGCCTGAAGTTCTTCCGAGTGCTTCTGTTGTAAACGTTCTTCTAATTCCTATGAAATCCAAGTTGACAAAATTTATTCTATACCAGCTTAGAGAATTTATAAAATATTTAACAATACACAACTGGCAACAAAAAGCACGCATTGGCATACTCTAGAAATTGCTAAAAATGCAGTAATGTTGCTCATATTTTCTTCTTTCACCATGTTACCCTACTACTATATCTTCTTCTTTTCATTGGCTGATGTTATCAAGATTTCCTGTGCACAAAAAATGTTCACACAAAAAATAGAAAAAAAATCTATGGATATTTTTAAAATAGCAAGCAATGTGTTAAGGTGCAGCTCCACAGATGGGTCTAGAATGCATGCAATACACATTTGGAGATTTTTGCTCCTGACTGATATGTATGTTTATACCCTATTGAAGTGTATGAAGCATAATGTTCCTGGTGCACATTTCTAGTTAAGTACCATGTGTTACCAAAGTTTCAATTTAAAAACTCATTTAGTTAAGGTTCTAAAAAAATATTGGGTGTCATATTCTGGACATGAAAATGATTTGATAAGTTGCAGAACATAGTTTATACAATTTTTAATGTAATGAAAATATAAAATACTTTACAAAAGGAGTCAATTGAAAGGAAATGTCAGAAAACATGTGAAATTAGGTAACTATAAATGGAAAAATACAGAGACACCTATTCCAAATAAAAACTAGAATATAATGTTATGGATTATAATGTTGATGAAATGACTATATCAGTGGACAAGGGAAGAGCTATGGATGCCCTCTATCTGGACTTCTGTAAGGCCTTTGACTCCTTTCCCCACAACATCCTTCTCTCTAAATTGGAGACATATGTATTTGATAAGTGAACTATTTGGTGAATAAGGAAGGTAGCAGTCAATCCAGAAGGTAGCAGTCAGGGGCTTGATGTCCAAAATGGAGATTGGTGACAAGTGGTGTCCCTCAGGAGTCAGTACTGGCACCTGTGCCATTTACTATCTTCACCAATGACATAGTGGGATTGAGGGCACCCTCAGCAAGTATGCAGATGACAATAAGCTGAGTGGAGTTGTTGACATGCCCGAGGGATGGGATGGCATCCACAGGGACCTGGACAAGCTTAAGAATTTGGCCCATACTAATCTCATAAGGTTCAGCAAAGCCAAGTGCAAGGTTCTGTTCTGCACCTGAGTTGGGGCAACTCCTGGCATCGATACAGACTGGGGGATGAAGGGATTCAGAGCAACCCTCCGGAGAAGAACTTGGGGGTACTGGTGGATGAAAAGCTAGACATGAGCTTGCAATGTATCCTTGGCTGCATCAAAAGTATGGCCAGCAGGTCAAAGGAGGTGATTCTCCCCCGCTACTCTCCTCTGGTGAGACCTCACTTGTGTCCAGATATGGTGTCTGGAGGACATGAGCCTGTTGAAGCAGGTCCAGAGGAGAGCCACGAAAATGACCAGTGGGTTGGAACACCTCTCCTATAAGGAAAGGTTGGTAGAGTTGGGTTGTTCAGCCTGAGGAAGAGAAGGCTCCAGGGGAGACCTTACTGCAGCTTTTCAATACTTAGAGGGGGCCTATAAGAAAGATGGGGACAATCTTTTTAGCAGGGCCTGTTATGACAGGAAAAGGGGTGATAGTTTTAAAATAAAAGAAGGGAGCCTTAGACTAGATATGAGGAAGAAATGTTTTACAATGAGGCTGGTGAAACACTGGAACAAGTTGCCCAGAGAGATAGCAGAAGCCTCATCCCAGGAAACGTTTCAAGGTCAGGTTGGATAGGACTCTGAGCAACCTTTTCTAGTTGAAGATGTCCCTGCTCACTGCAGAGGGGTTGGATTAGATGACCTTTAAAGGTCCCTTCCAGCATGAACCAATCTATGATTTTATGGTAACAGTGTCAAACTACTGTAAAGAAATGTGTTTGTTGATAGCAATTTTACATATATATATACACTTATATATATACTTATATATATGCATGTATTGATAGAGTATAAAGCAAGACATAAACCAATGCCATTATTAAAGATGATTTTCAGTATGTCTTAAACAGATTTAACTGGATAAAAATGTTACTGTAAGATATCAGCTGAAAAGGAAGTTTAGTAGATAGGCAGATATTTTTCTTCACTAATTCCAAATGTGTATACAAATTGCTAAAATGGCACCATTCTCTATATAATTGGAAATATCCATATGAACATGCCTTTTGTTCTTGCTCTTTTGTTTCTTCCATATTTTGAAAGGCAAGGATATGGGCTTCCTGAAGTGACTTATGCCTTTGCTGATGCTCCTCTTCTAATTCCTGGATCTCCTGAGTGAGTCTCTGCCGCTCCTGACTGAACTGGGCTTGTAGCTGCTGCAAAGAGCTCTGCGACTGGGAAAGCTGCATCTCCAGGTTCTGCTTCAGTAAGGAGATCTAACCCACAACAGAACAGCAGACACCCATTAGCCATTAATAACAACAACAACTCTGGAAAAGAAGTTCAAAACAAAACACTTGAATTTTTAAAGCCAGAATGTTAACCAAAAGACAGATAAGCAATGTCATCCATCTTCTGATTCTGTTGTTAATCTTATAGCTCAGAGATATAATAATTACATTTAAATAGTTTTGTAAGGGTTATTACATCTGTCAGGTCATACTACAGCACTACCTATAACACAATTTTTCATGGCCAAATTACAAAAATTTATTTCTAGGTTTTGCATAAAGATCAGTAAAAATGACACTATCAAGGTCTGAAATCAAACACTTTGATTACTAAGATGAACTGTTCTCCAGGGGAACTTCACATCGATTCTATAAGGAAAATCCTGCAGCTGACAGGTGAAGACAGCCTGTGACATCTAGATTGATTGATATTTGTATCTTTGTATATGATAGGGTCCTATCTTACTGGTAGTTTTCTCATTGAAAAATAAAATGGAAGCATATCACTCTACATCACAAATAATGTTACACTTGATGGATTCCCTCCACACACCTTTTATTAGGTCATTAGTATTATAAGAGTGATTTTTCTGCTGGTTGCCAAGATCTAAGATCTAAGCAATCTGAGTCACAAATACTCATTTTCTTAGAAATATGTGGTTTTACAAATAATGCTTTTTACCCAGTAAACATTTTACTACATTAGAACACATGGCACTCTTTGAAAAAGTCTCATTTTCTTTTCATAATAATACTTTGTTCTTCACATTAAGAAGTATCTTTTCAGACTGAAAACACCAAACTTGTTTTACCTTTAGAGGGAAAGATGAGAAATTTCCATTTCTGGAAACATGATCTAACCAAAAGAGAATTTTGCTACAGTGACTCAGGGCAAGGAAAATAAAATTGCCATGTGACAAAGAATAAGAATCAGTAAAGATACTTTGCAAGCCTCAGAGCATTACATAAAATGGAATTATAAATGAAAGTCTGATAGTGTCATTTAATTCAGCATATCTTAAAATTGTGACAAATTAATAATGACATTGTACATCAACTTATTTACAGACTATTAAACCGCACCACTTAATAAAAAGTTAATAGCAGCACAGCAAGGACAACTTGCAGCATGAACGTTATTGTCAAACGTGGTGTTTTGTTTTGGTTTTTTTCCTCTTTTTCTCTCCAGGAGGACAGAGCTTAAGCAGATTTTAAAGAAAAAAGCTACACTTAAAAGCAAAATTAGCATTAAAACAAAACAAGCAAATTAATTTGAATGAAATGAGCATGGCTTATTGCATTTCAAATTCACCAGGTCTTTGTGTCTGTCTGTATATGCTCTGCCTTCTAAGTATACTGTACCAACAGGATTTTACTTCAGATACCTTTGAAACAGATTAGCTACAACTGAATAGTAAACTGAAGGCCTATATTACATTAGGATTAGAAGATTAGGAGACCAAAACAGCAAAGTATTTGAAATGAGAGTAAATTCTGGTTTTATATAGTTTGATATGTTATGTTCTGTTTCTTTCCTATATTCCTAACATTTTATTTGCTTTTGTGACTCCTACTGAACACTGAGGTGATGTTTTCACAGAATTATTTATCATAGTCCCCAAACCTACTATCTAGTTGTAACAGGTGAAGGTAAGGTTCATCATTTTACACAAGAAGTTAGAGTTTTTTTTTCTTCTGTACTACTTTGCATTTATCTACACTGAATTTCATCTGCCATTTTATTGCTAAGTACCTTAGCTTTCTACAGCTATCCTCTAATTCTTCAGACATCCTGAATAACCTTCTATAAGCTGCAAACTTTCCCACCTTATTCAAAAACAACCTGCAAAATATAGTATGTTGAACATCAGTGTAACTCCACTGATAATCTACCTACACTGTAGTAACACTGTCTTCAACACCTATCTTGCAACCAGGTATGTGTCTATACAAAAACATCCCTCTTCTATTGTGGAGTTCTAGTTTTCTGAGAAGCCCCAGAACTTCCTGGCCAATGTTTTTCAGTATACCATGGCCAGGGCTGCCATGCTGGTCAGGCAAGCCAATAATGCTACCATATGTTTTATTCTTCTTCTTCTTCAACCCTAGAAACTCACTTCACCGCTGCAGTTAGTTTGCACCATGCAACTGCTGCTCTGAGTTTTCATCTGTGTATCATCATCTGTTACTGCAAAGTGCTATTGCCTTCCTTCTCTGAAAAAAAAAAAAAAAAAAAAAAAAAATCTAAACTCCCCTTTGATCCACTCGCATCCTCATCTGCTCTGATTCATCCCATGTCCCCTGCTGGGCCCTTCTCTTTCCCCACTTTTCTGTAACCTCCCATCTACCTATGTCCTTTTCACCTGCAAGCCTTGGCTTCATTTCCTGTTCCTCTGCCAGACTACACCTAGTGAAAACCAGACCCTGTCTGGAGGTCCATCTTCCCCCTGTGCTTTTTGGCACAGAATTCTTACACTTCTTTAGATTATCTCTGCATCTATCTAACCACCATCTATAAACTCTCAGGTTTGTTGGGGTTTTTTAGCTTGGCTCTAGCCCCTCTACTCCTTGTCTTCCATCCATCCCATCCTCCAGTATCTCTTTGCCTCCTCTCCTTTGACCTTTTTCTTCTTCCTAACTCCATTTTTAGTATTGTATCACATAGAATGTGCAGTTAGGTAAGAGATTATTCAGTCCTATTCTTTGCACTGGGTGGGAACTCTGTACCCAAATCAGTGTTTAAAAACCTCATAAGACAGAAATTCCACAAGTTTCACTAAGATCCTTTTTCTCCTCCTCAGAATGTCTGTAGCAGAAACACTGAGATACTGGACAGATGTTCTGTCTGCTCTTACTGGTCCCTTTCGTCTTGTGTCTGTCCCTCATGTTTCTCACCGTTGCCCTGTCCAATTGATCATGGCCACCAGGAGGTTCAGTTCTAGGGGAAGTCCTGCAGAACCTCAGGTAATTTAATCATCATACTCTAAAAAGCCTTTCATGGTAACATTCAAATGGAGTTGACCATGGTATCTTAGCCATATTTTTATTTAGATGACATGAAAATAAAGTACTTTGGGCTTGAAGTTAAATTTCTCTCTCACTTAAGTTCCTGCACCGAATTATGATCATTCTTATTATAAGCATTTCATATAATCATTCATAAATAATGACTTTCTTTTCATTTCTTTCTTGGAGATGCAGAAAAAATTTTAAGTGAGATGACCAAAGGAAGTCTGACATCTGGCCAGGAAGCCATCTTAGAAGAAATCAGGAATGCCCTTCTCTAGAGCTGTTCACACTTCCACTAGATTAACTACAGCCTGAAATGAGTGTTCCCCAGGGCTCACTACTGCATCCTGTTCTTCTTAATATCTTTATCAATGATCTGGATGAAGGCATTGAGGGCACACTAAGTAAGTTTGCAGACACCACAAAGTTGGACGAGAGTGTTAGTCTGCTTCAGGGTAGGAACACTCCTACAGAGGGATCTGGACAGGCTGGATTGATGGGCTGAGGCCAATGGTATGAGGTTCAACAAGGCCAAGTACAAGGTCCTCAACTTGGGTCACAACAACCCCAGGCAACACTACAGGCTTAGAAGGAGTTGCTAGAAAGCTGCCCAGAAGAAAAGGACCTGGTGGTTCAGGTCAAAAGCTAGCTAAATATGAGCCATGAGTATGCCCAGATGGCCAAGAATGCTAACAGCATCCTGGCTTGTATTAGAAACAGTGTGCCCAGCAGGAACAGGGAAGTCATCATCCTCCCCATACTCAGCACTGGTAAGGCCACACCTCAAGTATTGTGTTCAGTTTTGGGCACCTCACTACAGGTGTTGGACTTGATCTTGGAGGTCTCTTCCAATCAAAACAATTCTATGATTCTATGAGTCAATGCCAGGAGATGCCTGTTTGCATTAATAGGCTATACAGAAAATAAAGGACAATAAGGATTAAATAATTCTAAAAGCAAGTCAGATTTGTTTACCCTTCTAATAATATTTTTTGTTGTTGTTAAAAGCACATAAAATATTAAACATCTGACTGCTACTTTTAGAAGAGTACATAATTTTAAACATTATTTTTATTATTCAATACATATACTGATATCCTTAAGAACATATTTCTGAAAACATCAGTGCTTTCTTTTAAATGTCTTTGGAGCAACCTTTCTATGCTCCTGTATTGAGGAGTCAAAAGAAAACAGCTCTAAACACTATTCTCTGAACTTTCAATACTTATACAAGGTTTTCAGGACATGAAAAACATTGGTAAGAATTTGAGAGTAAAAAAAAATAGAAAGAATATTTTGGGTACAACTATGACTTGCACTGCAAAACTGCAAATTATAACACATCAACCTCATGCTTTGTAGAAAGCTCTGCAATATGCACTTGCACTGCCCACAAGCTTGCCTGCTTTCACAATGACATAAAGATGCTGCTTCTATTATGACCACGTACGTCGTGTTGGATGTCCAGTGATACACACACATACACAGATGAATGGATGCACACAAGTACACAAGCTTTTGATACCTAGTGGCAAATGCTCTCCTTTCCAATATTACCATGTATGCTACTTCACAGGCTAAAGCTTTAAAGCAGTAGCACAGGATATGCAGATTTATTAGTGCAAGCATGCCCTGTTTACAAGCTGTAAGTGCAAATCACTTACATTGCTGATAGATTTATGCAAAGCTTCACCGAGACAGTGCCGCTATGAAGAAAAGATCACAGGAATAAAGGGAAACATTCAGAAATCAACTATGTAAAAGAAGAAGGGATAAGGAAGGGAGAGTAAAACATAGAACATTAATTATAATTTGATTAGGGAAAAATAAGTTGAAAAGTATCTGGAAAATATGAATGCATTTTTTTAACTTAGTAGATGAACTACTGAACACAGAACAGAATGATTAATTTTCCTGTGTTATGTTCTGAATGCACAAGACAGCATTATTTCTTCCACACAGTGTTAGTCTATACT